ATCTTTAAAAAAGACTTAGGTAGGATATTTCCCCTTTTTTCCCCCTTGTTTATAGTTTTTATAATCCCGTATTGCATCAACTATTACATTAAAGTCATCAAGTATGCAAAGATTTTGATAATTTAACTCCACTAATTTATCATATTATTGCTGGAAGAACTGATCTTGTTTCTCATTGGGAGCATATATTGCAACCATCAACATTTGTTTTTGATCCCATGTAATTTCCATCATTAGTATTCTCCTTTCTTCATCAAAATAAATTTGTTTTGGATTCATCTTTTCTTTTATATAAAATGCTATTCCTCTTTTCTTTTTCTGTTCTAAAGAAAAGTAAAGTTTGCCTATCTTTGGTTGTCCTAAAATTTTTGAATGCTGTCTTTTGATATGTGTCTCCTGAAAACAGATTATATCCATTTTCAATTTTTGTAGTCTGTTAAATATTTTACTCCCTTTTGATGGGGAATTAAGACCATTTATGTTTATTGAAAAAATTCCAATCTCTTTCATAGTTTCAGTTATATCTAGATCTCAATCTTCTAAGAGAGGTGGTCTGTCTCTGATCTCTCGGTCTTACATCTTCCTCTGTTTGTGTCTTTTTTGATTCTCCCTCCTCCAATTGTTTTGGTGCTCCTACACCCATCGTTTCTTCTGTTTTCTTGGATTTGGCATCGCCTTTTTCTAAAAAGGCTCTGTGGTTGTTAAAAAATTCCTCAGCTTGAAATGGAGTATCTATTCTATATCTTTTCGAGTCCCAGAAGATTAATAATCCCTCTGGGACCAGCCATCTAAAATTCACTCCTCTATTAAAAAATTTCCTTGTTAAAAAGTGGTATTCTCTTCGGGCTTCTCTTATCCTTCTTGGAATCTGTGTAAGAACTACAAGTTCTTTATCTTTATATTTCAGTGGTTGATCTCTTGTTCCTCTCAAGATCTCATCCCGTATAAATCTTTTAAGAAATCTTACATGAACCTCCCTGGGAACTCTATTTATTCTCGCATAGCTCAAATTCATTCTAAAATCCTGATCTATTTCTCTTTTCATTAAATCCTTTTCCATTCCAAGCAATTCCACTAATAATTCACTTATCAACTCCAACAAGTTCTTGTCTTTCTCTTCTACAATATTTTGAAATCTTAGAAAGTGTGAAATTATCCATCTCCATCACAGCGAAGCTGTCCTCTAATCCCACATTCGCCTGCACCAATCTCTGATTTTCCTCTTGTAATGCTTCAATTTTCTGATCAAAAACCACTGCCTTATCTTCAATTTTTTGCATTCTATTTTGAGTATCTAGCATTGCCTGTTGAAAATTTTCCATTTTTTGATCCATTTTAAGAAGATCGATTTTCAAGTCTTCATGATTTTTTTCCAAATCTTTTTTCAAATCAGCAATATTTTTAGATTGAGCAGAAATTGCCTGGAAGATTGCTTGAGTGTCAGTCAATTGAGGATCTTGTTGTAGAAAAGTGGTAATTGATTTCTGAATAGCTGGACTCACCGAGGTAGAAGCGGGGGCTGAGGAACCCTTCCTCACCCCTTTGGCTAAGTTTGAAGAACTCATCTTCTAATTATTGTATTTATTTGTAATCCACCCAAAAGCCTGATGGCTAATTATAATCCACCAGATAGCCCGAAGGCCACTTATAATCCACAGCTCTCCTATTACCAGGAGACAAGGCCAAGCATGATATTAACAAGAAAAAAAACCAAATCCTTTGGGGGAATAGAAGTAATAAAGAAAGAAGAACTCTCAAAAACCATCCACAAAGGGAACAAAAATAGGCAAAAAAGAGAAAGAAAATAAATAAAGTAGAATTTTTTTTTCTTTTTTTTTGAGACAAGGAAAAAAAAAGAAAAATAAAAACACGCCAAAAATAAGTCAATCTGTAAAAATGGGAGATAAAAAAACCCTCTCATAAAAAGAGGTAGGAGACTTCAAATACACAGCTAAAAAGTAAAAGTAAAAAATAAAACTAAAAGTTGTCAAAAAAGATGAGTAAAGTCCAAATTATAATCCAATCAAACTTTAATTCCAGAAAAAGCAAAGACAAGATTTTCCTTCTTCCCTTGTATTTTTCTTTGTTATGGAAAATATACAGCTAGCCAGCCCGTCAGATAGAGAGCTGAACAGTCTCTCACAGTAACCTCTAAACCAGTGGTTCTCAATCTTTTTAGACCGGCGACCCCGGTCATAAGCAGGCGGCGCGCATGCACGGCGCCGCCCCCTGCGCAGCACGCATGCACGGCACCGCCCCCTGCACGGCACGCATGCGCGGCACTGCCCCCCTGCACGGCACACATGTGCGGCGCCGCCCCCTGTGCAGCGCGCATGTGCGGCGCCGCCCCCTGCGCCGGCTGAGAAAAAAAATGGCAGATCGCGTTGTTTGGCGACCCCCGTGAAATGGTCGTTCGACCCCAAATGGGGTCGCGACCCACAGGTTGAGAACCGCTGCTCTAAACAAAGTTAAGAATGTCTGGGCATTCAGCCAACAGTCTGGGCATTCAGCCAAATTTCTATTGAATCCACAAAAAACAAAGTGAAGAGGAAAAAATGTTACCTTGTAACCACCAGGGAAGCACTGATTCTTCTTTCCCAGGGTTTTTTTTTTTTTGAAAAAGGAAAATTCAGAGCAAAAATAGAGTTTTAAAAGTTATAGCAAATAAAAAATAATTAGGTTAGCTTTCCAACTAAATCCTCTTTAATTTTTTAGATTTCTCCAGCCAGAGGCCAAATTTAAAATAGTCCCAGTTAAGTTTCTTCCTTAGCAATGGAGTTGCTTAAAACACTGCCTATGAGGGAGGGGATGGAAAAAAAACCCCTCTTCCTTCCCTCCCTCAAGCTTCCAGCTTTTCATTAAAGATAGGTACTTCCACCAAAAGTCCCATTTCAACAAAGAGCAGAAAAGAGTCTCACCGGACCGGCTGCTTGCTGTCAAAATCAGCTGTTTTCTGTTCCCCACGATCATCTGTTAATGGAGGCTCTCATAAATGCGATCCTCCTTTCTTGTTGAAGATGTTTTAATTTGAATTTCAGCACTGAACTCAGGGTTGGATTTTATGGTTTCCATAATAAAGGTAAAAAGATTTCCCCTGTCCAGTCATGTCCAGCTTTAAGGGGTGGTACTCATCTCCATTTCCTAGCTTCCGTGGCCATGTGGCCAGCATGACTCTATGCTGAGGCTCATGGAACACGGTTACCTTCCCACCAAAGTGGTACCTATTTATCTACTCGCGTTTGCTGCTTTCATATTGCTAGTTGGGTAGGAGCTGGGGCTGGAACAAGAGCTTGGTCTTGAACCCAGGCTGTCTGCTTTCCAGCGGACAAGCTCAGCGGTTTTAACCATCTTGTTCTTTTTGGATTCTATTTCGTTACTTTATATGTATTTCTGTATGAGTCATTTTTGAGAGTCTGGATTGTCAGAGGGACTGTTTGTCTGAAACCAGAACCCCTACTTTAGTTCAAGAAGCCAACAAAGTAAAAATAATTGCCTTCAACAAATGATTCTAATGGAGGGAGCTTGATGCATTCTGGAAGATAAATTTATACAGCTAGTCCTTGATTTACAACAGTTCATTTAGTGACTGTTCAAAGTCACAACGGCACTGCAAAAAAGTGGCTTATAACCATTTTTCACACTTATGACCATTGCAGCATCCTCATGGTGATCAGAATTCATATGCTTGGCAACTGGTTCATATTTTTGACAGTTGCCATGTCCTGGGATCATGTCATCACTTTTTGTGGTCTTTTGACAAACAAAGTCAATGGAAACTAGATTCATTTAACAAACTCACTTGACAACTGTGCTAAGAAAAGTTATAAAATGGAGCAAAACTTACTTAACAAACATTTCACTTAGTGACAGAAATGTTGAGTTCAACTGGGGTTTTAAATCGAGGACTACCTGTATATTGTTCTCTTCGATTGACTACTTATCAGTTGGTGTTGGTGCAGGAAGTCCTCAAGTTACAATCACAGTTGGAACTGGAATTTCTATTGTAAGTTGTTATGGTGGTAAGTCAAGTTGCACCTGGTTTGACCACATTTTTACAGCAATCATTAAATGAATTGCATGGTTGTCCTAAAGGTGCTTTTTTAGGAGGCAACTGGGGTTTCTTGTTTTTCTTTGAAGACATTTTGCTTCTCATCCAAGAAGGTGTCTCAGCTCTGACTGGATGGTGGGGAATGGAAGGATGTCATGGTTCCGACAGATGAAACTCTTCAAAGAACTTCAACACATTGTTTACCTTAAAGAATCTTTATTCGAGTAGCATAGCATCAGTATGTACATAGGCGGAGCCAAAATCTGAATTCTCCTCCCCTCAGCACATAGTATCAAAGCATAATTCCCTCCTCTAATTAACAGTCATAAATTTATTTATTTATTTTATTTATGAGACTTATATACCGCTTTAAGTGCAAGCACTCTCTAAGCGGTGTACACCAGTAAGCAATGTATATATATTTACATTGCCCCCAACAATCTGGGTCCTCACATTCTCCAATTAGTTTGAAATGCAGGCTTTCCCTCCAGTTTTTCAACCCGCCATTTCTTATCATCTCTTATTCAAACAATCTTGGTTCTCACACTAGTTACAGTATTGTTATATCTAACTAAACTCCCATGCACATTCCTCCCTGCTCCAGTATCATCTAATTCTAACTCTAATTCTAAGAGTAAAACACAAAAAGGAAAATGGTTGCATCTCCATATGTTGTCAAAGCAAGAACATCTGCTGTTAGCAACGTGGACAAAGGATTTATAGTCCTTGCAGACAGCTGGTGCTACCTCAGTGGTGCTTATTGCCAAAACTTGTTGAAAATAATTTGTAAATTGTGATCATGTGACTGCAGGATGCTGCAACTGGTCATAAGTTCGAGACAGTTGCAAATGTCTGATTTGCAATCATATGACTGCAAGAAAAGAGACCAGGAAGAGATTGGCTTCTGATCAATTTTCTAGGAACTAATGATTTCTATTTTTTTTTATTTTAGTCTTCATGAAATTGTTTCCATGGTGCAGAGTGAATACAGATGTATTTCCAGGCAACACTTGGTGGAAATTTAGGAAAACCTGCTACAAAATTATAAAACACAATTGGTTTGAATCCTTTATTATATTCATGATATTACTGAGTAGTAGTGCTCTGGTAAGTTTACTATACTTTGAATTACCTCTGCTTTTCTTTAGCTTCTGTTGTTAATAAGACACTTATTAATAATACAGATACTTTTTAATAATAATAAAGATACTTTTGTATTCCCAGTAACATCTCTCTCTCATTCTCTATCATTTATCATCTATCATCTACATCTATCATCTAAGAATTAAAAGTATATTTATTATTAATAAATAGTATCTATAATTATTATTATTCAATGCACTTTGATATGAAAATTTTGTCCTGGTATTTGCTGTTTATTTGGTCTCAATATGCAATCTAGAACTTCTCGGTGACAGCTACCTCATGATGTGATCCATTTTGTTGAAGCCACTTCTGAAGCCTTTCTGTTCCTTTGGCTATGCATCATTTAATGTTCTGAATATTCTTTCTGCTATTATCTTATTGAAAATTTTGCAGATGACTGAAAGAAAGCTTATTGGGTCATAGTTCTTTAAATCATCTTGGGCCACTTTCTCATGTATAAGAATAACTTCAGCGTTTTTCCATGCATCGGATGTTTTTTCTTCTCTGAGGCATTTTGACTATAGTTTTGTTAGTATCGTGTGTAAACTGTGACCACTAGCTTTCAGCATTTCAATTATAACACAGTCATTTCCTGAAGCTTTGCCATTTTTTATGGCACTTGATATTTCCTCCACTAGGATATCAGCATTTCCTCTTTCGTGGGTGTTGTTACTTTTGAGAGATCTTGATCTTTGTATAGTTCTGAATAGAATTTTCCACTATTTTCATTTACCCACACAAGCACTCTTCACTTCATCAAGGCCCCAATCATAGAAGGAGAAATAGTTTATTAAAAGGGGTTCAATAAGTTTTAAAAAAACAGAATACTACAAGGTGGAAATGGGATCATCTTAGTCCAAAAGTCCAAAATCCTTCTCCAGAATGGCACACTCATTGGAACCCTTGGCCAGTCAACAGAGTCAACTTTTGAGGTTCTTACGGAAGGCCAAAATGGTGAGAGTGTATTCCAGAAGGTAGGAGCCACAATAGAAAAGACCCTTCTCCTGGATCCCACCAGTTAGAATCCCATAAGTGATAGGGTCTGCTGCATGCACCTTCTGTTATCATAGCAGATTGGAACTGTCCTTATCAGCTAAGCTAGAATAGAGTAGAGTAGAATAGAATAGAGTAGAATAGAGTAGAATAGAGTAGAACAGAAGATAGAGAATGAAATGGAATGGAATAGAGTAGGGTAGGGTAGGGTAGGGTAGGATAAGGTAGAGTATATAGAGTAGAATAGAGTAGAACAGAAGATAGAGAGTGGAATGGAATGGAATAGAATACAATAGGGAATAGAATAGAACAGAATAGAATAGAAAAGAATAGAATAGAATATAGAGAATGGAATGGAATGGAATAGAATAGAATAGAATAGAATAGAATAGAATAGAATAGAATAGAATAGAATAGAATAGAATAGAATAGAATAGAATAGCTTTATTTGGCCAAATGTGATTGGACACACAAGCAATTTGTCTCCAATGCATAAACTCTCAGTGTACATACAAACAGCAAAGTAATGCAATCATAGGATATCAACAGGAGAAGGTAATAGAAAAATTGAGAAAGATCATAGTAATACAGTCTCCTCCATGGGTAAATATACTTAGACATAATATACAACACTTAAGGATTAGGTGTTCAGTAGAGTGATGGCATAATGGGGAAAAAATTTCTTTATGACTAGATCTCTTAGCATGCAATGCCCTATAGTGCCTTCCCAAGGGAGAAATTGGAACAGTTTATGGCCAGGATATGAGAATCTATAGAAACAATATTTGATTTTATTATAGTCTAAATCACACCTGATTTATAATTCCAGATCTTTGAAGACATTTACCTTGATACAAAGAAAACCATAAAAAGCATTCTTGACTATGCCGATGTATTCTTTTTCTGTATATTTTTCTTGGAGATGCTTCTCAAATGGGTGGCCTATGGCTTTAGAAAATATTTTACTGACGGCTGGTGTATTCTTGATTTCTTTATTGTAATTGTAAGTACCATGTATTTATTTGTTTATGTGCACTGCTGCAATGTGGAAATAGGCAAAGTAGTATAGAAATACATATAAAAACCACTAACATTTCCTATACCTAGTAAAATAAAGTTCAGTGTAGAGCAGGCATGTCAAACTCGCGATGTCATGTGACGTCATGTGACATATCGGAGCTTTTTTGCCATTGCCGGCAATGGGGTGGGTGCGGCTCCGATATGATGAAACCGCCCCGCGGGCCGGTAGTTTGATGCCCCTGGTGTAAAGAAATGTAAGATTTTATACGTAGGCAACAAAAACAAATGTACAAGTACAGATTAGGTGAAACTTGGCTCAATAAAAGTAACTGCAAGAGGGATATTGAAGTACTAGTGAACAATCACTTACATATAAACCAGCAATGTGTGGCAGCAGCCAAAAAAGCCAACATAGTCCTAACTGGAGGATAGAATCAAGATCACATGAAGTACCCCTTTATAAGGCTTTGGTAAGACCAGACTTGGAATATTGCATCCAGTTTTGGTCGTCATGATATAAAAAAGATATTGACATCTAGAAAGAATGCAGAGAAGAGCAACAAAGATGACACCCCAAGGTTCTCAAGGAACTGGCAGATGTGATCTCAGAACCACTGAACTATATTTTTCAAAGATCTTGGAGCACTGGGGAACTACCAGAGGATGGAAAAGAGCTGATGTAGTTCCCATCTTCAAAAAAGGAAAAAAAATGGATCCAGGAAATTACAGACCTATCAGCCTGACCTCAATACCTGGGAAGATTCTGGAAAAGATAATCAAACAATGAATCAGCAAACACCTAGAGGCAAATAAAATCACTACTAAAAGCCAACATGGATTTGTCAAAAACAGATCATGCCAGACAAACCTTATTGCATTCTTTGACCAAGTGATAGAATTAGTGGATCAGAGGAATGCTGTGGATATAATTTACTTGGACTTCAGTAAGGCATTTGATAAAGTAGATCACAACCTACTACTCGATAAGATAGAAAAAAGTGGGTTAGACAGCATCACCACCAGATGGATTCGTAGCTGGCTGACCAGCCACACTCAGCGAGTGGTCCTCAATGGAACTGCATCTACATGGAGGGAAATGTGTAGTGAAGTGCCCCAGGGCTCTGTTATAGGCCCAGTGCTCTTCAACATCTTCATCAACTATTTGGATGAGGAGATAGATGGGGAACTCATAAAATTTGCGGATGACACCAAGCTGGCAAGAATAGCCAACATTCCAGAAGACAGGCTTAAGCTACAGGAGGGACCTGGACAGACTTGAACACTGAGCGCTATCTAACAAAATGAAATTCAATGGTGAAAAAAGTAAGGCTCTACATTTAGGCAAGAAAAACCAAATGTACAGGTATAGTATAGGGGGTACCTTGCTCAATAGTAGTAACTGTGAGAGAGATCTCAAAGACCTAGTGAACAATCACTTAAATGTGAGCCAGCAGTGTGCTGCAGCTGCCAAAAAAGCCAACTCAGTGCTGGGCTGCATTAACAGAGGGATAGAATCAAGATCACGTGAAGTATTAATACCGCTTTACAATGCCTTGGTAAGGCCACACTTGAAATACTGCATCAGTTTTGGTCACCACGATGTAAAAAAGATGTTGAGACTCTAGAAAGAGTACAGAGAAGAGCAACAAAGATGATCAGGGGACTGGAGGCTAAAACATATGAGGAACGGTTGCTGGAATTGGGTCTGTCTAGTTTAACAAAGAGAAGGACGAGGGGGGACATGATAGCAGTGTTCTAATATCTCAGGGGCTGCTACAAAGAAGAGGGAGTCAAACTATTCTCTGAAGTGCCTGAGGGTAGGACAAGAAGCAATGGTTGGAAACTAATCAAGGAGAGAAGCAACTTAGAACTAAGGAGAAACTTCCTGACAGTGAGAGCAATTAACTAGTGGAACAACCTCTCCAGAAGCCGTGAATGCTCCAACACTGGAAGTTTTTAAGAAAAGACTGGACAGCCATTTGTCCAAAATGGTATAGGGTTTCCTGCCTGAGCAGGGGCTGGACTTGATGACCGGCTGCATGAATTGGGTATGTCTAGTGTAGTAAAAATAATGGCTAGGGATGACATGACAGCAGTGTTCCAGTATTTGAGGGACTGCCACAAAGAAGGGAGGAGGTCAAGCTGTTCTCCAAAGTGCCTGAAGACTGACAAGAAGCAACAATGAAAATGAATCAAAGAGAGAAGCAACCTGGAATTAAGGAGAAACTTCCTGACAGTGAGAATAATCAACCAGTGGAACAGTTTGCCTTCAAAATTTGTGGGTGCTCCATCACTGGAGGCTTTAAAAAATATTTTTTTATTATTTTATCATATAGATAAAAAGATAAAATACAAAACAGTAAAACTAACAAACAAAACAAAACAAAAACATACATTCAGCCCTAACAACAACAAAAAAAGAAAAAAATGTGTCAAAAAAGAGGAAAAATGATTTCGGACTCATTTGTTCTCATCAGCTAACCACACCCTTTATGAGTCTCCCACTTAAATCTTTAACTTTTGTCAGCAAAAAAGAAATCTGAATTTGGGTCCATCGCTATTCTCCCCCCCTCGTTCCTGGGAGGGGCAGCCCCCTGTTCGCGTTCACTAAACGGTCTGGACGCGGTAAACACGAACGGGGGGCTGCCCAATTATGAACTAACCAGCAATGGACTGTCACTCATGCAACTCATGCTCCCAGGAACGAGGGGGGGGGGAGAATAGCGATGGACCCAGTAAAGCACAAATTGAAATGACACCTATAGAAAGGAATGGGAAGAGGAATGGAATACTCGAACCAAAATTGCAAAAGATGGGGGGATCGGACCGTAACTCGACTGGGACAACCAAAGGAACCAAAAAGAAACGGGGATAACATTCATACACCCCAGCAAGCAGAACTATGGACAGAAGGTTGGTGGAAGGAAGACAACCACTACCCACAAGGGAAGTGAAAGGACTCCGGCCAATTCCAGGATTAGTGAAAGGGATATGCGCGATGGAACACAGAAAGGAAGTGAGAAAGAACTACACTCTGATGTAAGACACACACTCAAATTACAGCACGCTCAGCTGGGTCCCGTAACACGGTCTAGGAGCCGAGTGCAGATGATTAGTGGTTGCATATAAGCTTTCCCCAAAACTGCCTTTTATACCCTGACAATGTCAAGAGCTCTTGACAAAAGCTAGGTTTAGCAAATAAATTTTCTACATTTTTATTCTCTTGGTGATCAACTTTTATTTGATATATATATACATACATACACACACACACACACACACACACACACACACACACATATAAGTATCTTGGTGACATTTCAACGAGGTCCCACTCGTCATCTTCAGGCTGGGGTCTTCGGCTTTGTGCTTGTGCGAGCAAAGTGTGATCGGAGCTGCCGTCTTTCTATAAATATTGGTGGGAATGTGTAGAGTGCTGGCTTAGTTGCTGTAGGAGGGTTGGTTGGCTGTGTTGGAGTTATTGTTTGTGGATTGTTTGGCTGTTTCATAACATCCTGAGTAGCTGAGGTGCTGCTGTGTGCCCATTAATCTTTTGTGTTGTAACGACCTGGGTAATGGATGTTACAACACAGCCTACCAACACAGAACTAAGGATATCACTACACTAGATCTCAGGATGTCATCACACAACCTATTACCCAGGTCGTTACAACACAAAAGACTAATGGGCACACAGCCAGCACCTCAGCTACTCAGGATATTACGAAACAGCCGAACAATCCACAAACAATAACTCCAACACAGCCAACCAACCCACCTACAGCAACTAAGCCAGCACTCTACACATTCCCACCAATATTTATAGCAGTGGTTCTCAACCTTTTTAATGCCGCGATCCCCAACCAGTCGTAAGTTGAGGACTACTCAACCGGTCGTAAGTCGAGAACTACTCAACTGGTGCAGCACCGTTTGCAGAATGGGACTTTTGGCGGGCTCAGCAGGGCAGAGACAGCCTGGACAATTCCTATTGGCTTTTGAAAGCCAATAGAATTAGACTCTGTTCAAGAGAGTCTATTCTACTGGCTTTCAAAAGCCAATAGAATAAAAGGGAGTAGCACAGCTAAGGAAAAGGGGGAAAAAAAGGCGGACTGCATTGTTTGGTGACTCCCGTGAAATGGTCGTTCGACCCCAAATGGGGTCCCTACCCACAGGTTGAGAACCACTGATTTATAGAGAGATGGCAGCTCCGATCACACTTTTCTCACACAAGCACAAAGCCGAAGACCCCAGCCTGAAGATGACGAGTGGGACCTTGTCGAAACATCGCCAAGTATAATTTTATATACTTTAGAAATCAAATGGTCATCTCCACAACATAAATTAATGTCCAGTTCGGATTTAATTCCTATGAAAACAAAACTTTTTAAAATCAGATTTAAAACTTTCAAAAATTATATAATAATTAAACCAGTCGCAAGCAAATCCTTCACTTACTAATTGTTCTCTTGCCCTTATCTTAAATCACTCTTTTCCAAATATCAATAAGTCTTGATATGTCAGCCGTTTACATTCCAATATCTACCTCTGAGATGATAGCCAAAGAAAGTGGCACTTTATCACTTGAGGCTTTTGAAAAATGACTAGACGACTGTTTGTCTGAAATGGTATAGGACAGGGGTCTTCAAACTTGGCCCTTTTATGACTTGTGGACTTCAACTCGCAGAATTCCTCAGCCAGGCACACTGAGGAATTCTGGGAGTTGAAGTCCACAAGTTATAAAAGGGCCAAGTTTGAAGACCCCTGGTATAGGATCTCCTGCTTGAGCAGGGGCTGGATTAGAGGACCTTCAAGGTCCCTTCCAACTCAGATGTTCTATGATTCTAAGCTAGTGAAGGCAATAGATGGAGAGAATTAACTAAACAGGAATGGGAATAGGGGAGAAGAAATTGTAGGTCAGGGCTTTTATAACAGATATACAATTGATGTTTGCTGAGTTATTTAGCATGGTTTTTCTTGAAAGTAAATCAGAATCACAAGGTTGTCTTCTGTGGCTGAATTGTACTTTTCTTGTTTTTCACAGGTTTCTTTGCCTATGTCAAGAGGTGCATCAAAGACGAGACAGTGTGATAGTAATATCTCCACAAAATCTCTAAGAACATTGAGGGCCCTGAGACCTCTCCGAGCATTGTCTAGATTTAAAGGAATAAAGGTATTAAATCTTCCTTCCTTCCTTCCTTCCTTCCTTCCTTCCTTCCTTCCTTCCTTCCTTCCTTCCTTCCTTCCTTCCTTCCTTCCTTCCTCCCTCCCTCCCTCCCTCCCTCCCTCCCTCCCTCCCTCCCTCCCTCCCTCCTTCCTTCCTTCCTTCCTTCCTTCCTTCCTTCCTTCCTTCCTTCCCTTTTCCAGAGATTATGGTTCAAATATGGTGTGCCTGTCTTTTGGAACAATATTTTGTTTTATTTCAGAGGAACAGGACTGACACATTGTTTCAGCCATGGATCCTTCTCATTCTGTTTTGAGTATTGCAGGAATATTGGCAAACACTTAAGAGTCCAAGGAAGATAAAAATGAAAAATATTTGCTGCTACCCTAATCAAATTCGGCCATATATTTGAATAATGCTGCTTTACCTAGCATACATTGCTTTTGGATTGAGAATTTATTATTCAAAATACTGCCCGGTGTGTTTGAGGAAGGAAATTGTCCTCTGGATATATAACAGCACCTGCCTCTGTCTGACGTGATTTGCAATTTTTAACTCATGAATTCTACAGTAATTTTTTTTTAGTTCATCTGCTTTTCTCCCAGATTCTCTTCATTTTTAATGAAGGAGAAGGGAAACATTTAGAAACTTCAGCTGTAAGCTTAATAACAGGACATGGATTGTTTATCGAGATTTATTAAGATATGTATAAGCAAAAAAAATGTATTTATAAATGCGATAATGAAGTTTTTACTGAGTTTGATACAATTAGAAGTTTACTAGCTTAAATATGAATTAGCAAATGTGAAGGGAAACAGAGAAGAAATATTTGATGATGTAATCTGAGATACCTACTAAAGATTTTGTTATTGAACTTTCGTTTAACCCAATCAGCACGTTGCCTTCCAAATACACAAATGTAAAACTGGAAAACTAATAATATATATATATATATATATATATATATATATATTAAAAAAAAACTTCAGCTGGTCTAGAATGCACTGGTATGTACAGTTTGGGATGGACCAAGATTTGTCCAAGTAGGGAGGTTATTCTACAGGACAGTGTTTCTCAACCTTAGCAAGTTTAAGATGTGTGGACTTCAAGAATACTCATTTGTTCGTACTACAGGTGGTCCTCGACTTACAACAGTTCATTTAGTGACCATTTCAGTGACCAGCACTAAAAAAAGTGACCGCTTTTCACACCTACTGTTGTTGGAGCATCCCCACAGTCACGTGATCAAAATTCAGACACTTGGCAACTGGACTCATATTTACATGATAATTGCAGTGTCCCAGGATCATGTGATCCCCTTTTGCGACCTTCTAACAAACAAAGTCAATGGGGAAGCCAGATTCACTTAACAACGGTGTTGCTAGTTTAACAACCGCCATGATTCACTTAACAAACGTGGCAAGAAAAGTCATCAAATGGGGCAAAACTCATTTTACAAATTTCTCACTTAGCAGCATAAATTCTGGGCTCAATCTGGTCGTAAATCAAGGACCACCTGTACTATGTATCCTTGCAATGGGAATTGATTGTGTACCTCCATTTTTTTTTTCTATAAGGTTGTTGTGAATGCCCTTGCTGGTGCCATCCCTTCCATTGGAAATGTGCTTCTTGTCTGCATTGTACTCTGGCTCCCCTTTAATATCTTGGGAGTGCAGCTGTTTGGAGGGAGATTTTCATGCTCGAAATTTGAAACTAAGAATAATTGTGTTAACAGCCCTATCAACTTTGATCATGTTGGGAATGGGTACCTGGCTCTCCTTCAGGTGGTATGTTTAATAAAATGGATATTAAATATCTTTTGTAAGGTGCACAGGTACAGCCAGAATATGTTATTAATAGCAGCTTGTTGAAAGTTGATTTGTGGGGAAATTTGCTTAGAAAGAAAAAGCTTTGAGGAGCGCTTAAAAAAAAAAACCTGTGCTGGGAAAAGAACAAAAAAGACAAAATACCTTGGTGCTACACACAAAGTCCAAATGTAATCCTTTGTGTTCAGACTGCAGGGCAGAACAGTAGATTGATTATGGTTAGTAGCAGCAATGATAGGTTCTGTAGTTATCTAAACCCAGTATTTCATAAAACAGAGAAATGAATCTTGCAGGTATATTATAAATAAAATTAGTAACAGTCATAATTAAAGTCCCTTAATTTTAGCAGCAAAAATATAGACAACTTTATCTAATAAAAAAGGAGTTGAGTCTTACTGCCTTAAGGAAAAATTGGTCATCTGTTTGTTTGTTTTTTTATTTTACGTATCAGGCAAAGCATGATTCTCTTTTAATTATTCTTCCTGTCAACCAGGTGGGATGGTAGAACTAAGTCTATGTATTTCCTTCATGTTTTGGACATCAAAAGAGGCAGATGGATCAAGGGAAGTGTATACGGTCTTCCCTTCTTAATTTTCTGTGATCTTTCATTTCAAATTCAGATCCTCTATCCAATTGTAATATTTCAAATGAATAAGACAAGACAATTAGATGCTTAAAGTGACAGCATAATAAATAAACTATGGGAATAAAATAAAAATACAGTAAGGTGTGGGAAATGTAGCTCCATTATTTTATATTCCTATGTTTTGTCCAAGAAAATTGAATGCTTATTATCTGCACCTATATATTTCTGAAGAAAAAGAAGCAAATGGATTGTTTTTTAAGTGCATAAGAGGTCCTGTAGTGGCAGACTGGGGAAAGGTTGTAATGATTGTGAGAACACAGTAAGGTCTATTAGACAAATCAAGGAGAAAAAGCATAGAAAACTTTAATAATTTGGCTTAATAATATCTCCATTTATTTTTTCCAGGCAACATTTAAAGGCTGGATGGAAATTATGTATGCTGCAGTAGATTTACCCACTGACGTAAGCTATGAAAAAGAACTTGCAATATTGCTTTTTTTCAGATATCTTCCTGTTCAGTTAGCAATCTTGTACTATTGTTGAAGGAAAAGTCTTCATCCTGGTTCAGTCCAAGCCGGGAATAAACAATATGGTGACTGCTTTAGAAAGAAGATTGCAGTTTATTGAAGAGGAAAGCCAGGCAGAAAGATGGCTCTGGAAGAAAAGAGAGAGAGCCACATGTAGGGAGTGGGTTTTTATATCCTCTGGGGCTCTTGAGGTTGTTTCCTGAGGCTTTGTATTTCCTGTGTCATGTATTTTGACCTGTGTTCCTTTGGAATCTTTTGGTTAATCCTATTATGTCCTATTTTAGAGTTTGGGTGGGGTATGTAGATTTTAAGTGTCTTTGTCTTCTTAATCTTCTAGCTGGGGGCCTCCAATCTTCCTGGAGGGTTTACATCTGCATTTCTACAGAGCTGGTTTCTGCTTGGGGGGAAGAAGACTTAGGACTGTTAAGAAAAACTGGGCATGCTTTTCTGCCTCTTTAAGATCCTTTGAGGAAATATATTTTTCTGCCCTTTTAATATTTCCTTCTCTGAGGGGCTGACTTCCCACACTATTGTCCCCAAAACTTTAGTTTTCCAACTTGAGCATCAGAGAAGCTCAGAGATAACATTAGCAGATCTTAAAAACTGATCAACATTGTGGCTAAGAACAGTAAGAAACTGATATTAGTCAGCTGACATTGTTTAGGTACAAGTTTGGGATTAAATACTAAAAAATAAGAATATTCAAATTCCCTTCCAAATTTGAGAAATGCTACTTTGCAGTGGTGGGATTCAAATATGTGAACAATCGGTTCTCTGTGTGGATGCCACTTCCAGAAGTCCATTCTGGGCCTGGGCAACCAAAAATTAGCTACCAGTTCTGCCAAAGTGGTGTGAACCAGCTGAATCCCACCACTGCTACTTTGGCTGTAAATGTTTATGATACGTAAAAAGCTCATCTGTTAAATCAGTGGCAAAGAAAAATTTTAAAATACATAGGTTCACACTTAGTGTAAAAACAGGATTTTTTTTTAAACTCATGTTTCGTTAAGGCATAATATCTGGGGTCACACATCTTGATAAGCCATCGTGGGTCAGATCAGATTAACAAGAAGGACTCTATGCTATAGTCTAGCATGAAGCATGAATCAGCCATTTTCTGCAATGGCACCTCCTGCAGCTCATGGATAGAATACGGAAGTGGAATGTCCCGCCTTCAGAAGTTGTGGGTGCTCCATCACTGGAGGTTTTTACAGAGCTTGGATAGCTATTTGTCTGGAAATGTGAACCTCCTGCTTGAGAAGGAGGTTGGGCTAGAACAGGGCTTTTCAACCAGTGGTACGGGTACCACCTGTGGTACTTTGGCACCTGGCAGGTGGTAAGCGACCATTCTAGAAAAGTGGTAGCGGGGGAGGGGAATGAGCTGAACTGGTGGCAGCACTGCACAAGCCTGAATGAGAGATGGCTGGAGCTGCAGGGCTGTCAGGGCTCAGCAGAAGTGCCAGGATCAGTGCCACTTTCCAGCTGATTGGCACTTCGGGACTGTCAGGGCTCAGCGGAAGTGCCAGGATCAGCGCCAGGCTCCAGCTGGAGCTCGGCGCTGATCCTGGCGCTTCTGCTGAGCCCTGAAGAAGCACCAATCAGCTGGAATGTTGCAGCATCTCCAGGGTCTTGTGATTTACATTCAGATGCTTGGCAACTGATTCATATTTATGACGGTCACAGTGTCCTAGGATCATGTGAAGTGACCAAAACCTGCTGCAACCACCCAGCAGACAGGGGAAATAAAAACCAAACACCTCCCCACCCCACCCCTGCTGCCAATCCTCAAAGAAATGCTCATAACAATGAAAATCTTGGACAGGAGGAAGAGCGCTGCCAAGTGGGCAGGCAGGTGTCTTGCTCGACTGTGGTTTGGGGGGCACTTTTTGCAGTGCCATTGTAACTTCGAACAGTCACTAAGCAAACTGTTGTAAGTGGAGGACTACCTGTACTTTATCATTTTTTTCCTTTTTTTGGGGTCAAATTTTTGACACCTTGCTAGGCGACTGGTGGTACTTGGATATTGCCATATCCTAAAAGTGGTACAATGGGTGAAAAGATTGAAAAGCCCTGGACTGAAGACCTTTAAGATCCATTCCAACTCTGTTATTCTGTTATTCAGATTTCCAAATTCCCTGCCTGGAGCTCTGAAACAGTTGTTTTCATTGCTTCTGTTGGATATTTGGCTAGTTGGCCAGTGGTGATAATAATGATAATCTAATAATTATTCTGTCCTAGTTGGAGTTTAAGTACCGTTGGGTTCTAGGTCAAGCAGGAGCTAAAGTTTAAATGTGAAACAAAGGAAGGTTCTGTTCTGAAACAAAGGAAGCCAAAATCAAGGATAGCAAATATTAAATTTTATAAGGCAAACCAGAGAAAACCAAAGCAGGCTCTGATTAGGCCAGTTCTATGCACTGTGGCACGATGGGCCCATTGTTCAAGTTTGTCCAGATCTTTTTGGATCCTGAGCTTGTCTTCTGGGGTGTTGGCTACTCATGCCAGTTTGGTGTCATTTGCAAATTTGATGAGTCCCCCTTCTATTCCTTCATCTAAGTCAGTGGTTCTCAACCTGTGGGTCAGGACCCCATTTGGGGTCGAATGACCATTTCACGGGGGTCGCCAAACAATGCAGTCCGCCATTTTTCCCCCTTTTCCTTAGCTGTGCTACTCCCTTTTATTCTATTGGCTTTTGAAAGCCAATAGAATAGACTCTCTTGAATAGAGTCTAATTCTATTGGCTTTCAAAAGCCAATAGGAATTGTCCAGGCTGTCTCTGCCCTGCTGAGCCCGCCAAAAGTCCCATTCTGCAAACGGTGCTGCACCAGTTGAGTAGTCCTTGACTTACGACTGGTTGAGTAGTCCTCGACTTACGACCGGTTGGGGGTCGCGGCATTAAAAAGGTTGAGAACCACTGATCTAAGTCATTTATGAAGATATTGAAGAGTACTGGGCATAACACAGAACCTTGCGGTACTTCAGTGCTTAATTAAAGAAGAGTAAATAGCTTATTGATTTTTCCAGAAGGAGAGAATAATTTTACTGAGACTTTAGAGCCAGGAGGTATACAGTAGATATCCTGAGGTTGGAGAGATGCAAACCAAACGGTATCATTTTGCACTAGTTTCCAGAGCAGGGAACATGCCAGTTCTTCTTCTTCTTTTTAAACAGGTTTTATTAATTTTTCAAATTTTTACATCCAAATGCTTAGGAAGCAGCATGGTGATAGGGTAATCAATAGTCCAATAACAAAATCATTCATGTGTATCTCAGGTTACATCAATAAAGATTCCCTCTCTAGTTCCCTTAAATATTATATCATGTTCATATTAATACATTTCTAACTGAAGCTCAATCAATCAATACATTTATCAATGACATTTTACTTATACATATCCAAGTCCTGTATTTAAGTTTTACTTAATTCCAACTGCCATGTTCCAATTTTGCCTTTTATAATCAATGTTTAAATTTGGATAACCTTAATTTCCCTAATTTCATTATAAAATACTTAACATAACTAGAATAGACATGTTGTTCCAAAATTTACCTTCTTTGTTCACAAATATACTCTATTTCATTTACTAGCAAAATATCTTCCATCATCACAAATGTATTTCCATCTAACAATTAAAATTATAATCTAACAATTACCGTAAATGCTGGCGTACAAGGCGACCCGGCGTATAAGAGGACCCCCGTCTTTATAGCCGGGCCGCATTCCTAGAACGTCGTCTTATACGCCAGAAACTACCAGTATTTCCGGCGTATAAGACGACTTGGCGTATAAGACGACCCCCGTCTTTAGCGCTGATTTCAGCGCTCGCGGAAGTCGCCTTATACGTCGGCATTTACGGTAATTTTAATTTCATAATCCTGGATATTAAACCAATCACTCCAAAAAGCTACTTAGCTCATTAAGTGAATTTTTAAATCCCATTTTAAAATCTAACTCTGGCTTTCTTTTTGTGCCAGGTAGGCTTCCATACAGTGCCTTTGAATCCACTGATGTGTCTCCCTTCATTCCCACATATGTTATTTGAACCAAGGGAGAACATCCAGTTATCAATTTTCCAAAGGAACTGGCCCCTTTGTAATAATTGGGGTTGTTGCACTAATAGTTCAAATCTCCATGTTTGGTTTGGAATGTTTGTCATCAGTTCAGTCTGGTCCTCTTGTTCTTCTTCCAATTTCGTCTGAGTAAAGTAGCAAGTCATACCCGGTGTTGTAGTTATTGTTTGGTTAGCTAAATTGTCTAAGTTCTCAATGTGGTATGTTTGTTGATTAGTTCCTGTTGCTTTTGGAGTTATAGATACTGTATTTAAAGTCAGTGTTGGATTATCAAAATTCTTATAGGTTGTGAATGTTGTTGTTCCTCTTCTGTTGTTTTTTTGGCTTGTAAATTGATCATCTGGAGTCTGGGGTTCGCTTTGTAGTTTTATGAAAACATCCTCGGCTTTCACTTTTGAGTTGATTAGCTCAGTAGCTTCAAGAATGTTTTCAAGGATAAGTTTATAGTTGAGTTGTGGGTAGAATTCCTCCGTTTCCATGGTGGTTAGAGATAGTCCTTTAGTGGAGGCTATGTTTAGTAAGAGTGAGCCAATGTTCACCTCCACACTTTCTAAAAATTGTTTTCACCAACTAGTTGTTTCCAATTCTTATCTTTTGGATAATGTGAAGGACAAATCAAGGGAGTCAATAGGCACAATTGAAAAAAAGAAAAGAAATTCAGTTGCTATGCCAAGTTTCACCACAAGATGTCCCCAGCAGACCACAAAATCTTTCCCCAAATGCTTAGCTTTTTTATTTTTCAGTTAAAAAAAGCAGAAAAAAAGATATTTTCCAAAATTAATAGTTTAGGTAAATGATAGGTCTCTATAATAAGAAGTTTTGGGACCCCAAGATATCCGCAGAACAGAAAACCAGTTAACTAGTTGTTAAAGTTAGTTATTCTTTTCATTTCTTTCCAAAGCTTAAATTCCTAAGTATGCAAATACCGCTGAATTGAGAGTGGGGAAAAAGTTTCAAAGAGCTTTCACAGAAAGGTAGTTAGGGTAAAGAGAGAGATACGGAAGCGTCTCACTCAGATCTTCCACGGTGCTTCATTGAGCTTAGAAGTGCTTTTGGCTTTCAGCTGGTGCAGCTAGATGATTGGCCATGTTGATGGCCGATCTTTCTTCCGTTGATCCAAAGGAGCTCTCTCAGCTCAAGTGGGAGGGCTACCGCCCTTCCACGCTCAGGCAAGGGTCCTCCTCAGCTTTGGTCACCTCTCCAGGGCAACTTTCGACCCTTTCCAGAGTCTTTCGATGGAAAGAAACCAGTCGGTGAGGAGGGAACTCTCTTCGTACATCCAAAGGGACCACAATCCGGAAACGGAAGCCAGAACATGCCAGTTCTGAAAGCAATTTCTTTGTAATGCTCTTCTGGAGAGCTCTCTGTCTGAGAGGTCTTGGTGCCCTCTGAGCTTGGCTGTTTTCTTGCAGATATTTCATGAGCCCAACTAGATAACATCATCAGTGCTAGTCATTTTGCATATCCTGAAGAAGAAAAATTGAAATCTAGAATAAGGATACTGATCATTTGTATCATATTAAGATCAAATTTAAATTAGCTGTGTTTTTTTTAACTTAATTATGGGCTTTTCCTCAATTTTTTTTTCTTATTTCAGAATTCTTCCCAACCATGTTTTGAAAGCAATGTATATGCATACATTTACTTTGTGGTCTTTATTATATTTGGATCCTTCTTCATGCTGAACCTCTTCATTGGTGTGGTTATCGACAATTTTAACCAGCAAAGAAAAAAGATAAGTATCTATCATAAATAGACAACCAAGACTCACAAAGACAAACAGTTACAAACTCTTTCAAGTGTATCCAATGACAGTTTGTCGGTGTTGCGTTTTATGCAAGATATAGGAAATATGGCAATTGAATATAGTTCTGGAAAGGATTCATATAGAAAGAGAATAATTCTCAACAACTAACCTTTCTTGCTCTCATTTTATATACGGGTTGTCCTTAATTTACAACCACAATTAAGCTCAAAATTTCTGTTGCTAAGTTAGACATTTGTTAAATGGGTTTTGCCCCATTTTATAACCTTTCTTGCAGTGAATCACTGCAGTCATTAAGTTAGTATCATGGTTGTTAAATGAATCAGGCTTCCCCCTTCACTTTGCTTGTCAGAAGGTTGCAAAAGGGGATCACGTGACCCCGGGACACTGCAACCGTCATAAGTACGAGTCAGTTGGAAAAATGAGAATTTACCAACTGACCAGATTATAATTACTAAAATTTTAAAGTGTGCAGAAATGGATAGACTAACATTAGAAATGAAAGAAAAAGATGATTCAATTTATTTTAGAACTTGGGAAAATTTTTATCAATGGTTAGAGACACGTTAGAACTTGAAGGATTCAATATTTTAGAATAGATGACTGATTTTTAATCGAGTTCTAACTAACATTTGGATGATATGATTATTTTTCCTGATTTACTGATTTTCATTTGTTACTTTGATTGTTAGGATTTTTTGAGATTTTATTAGTAGTGTTTACTTAATAGATCAACGTATTTGTTTACTAATTGTTTTTAATATATTATAGTCTAAGCTTTGGTAAAAATGGTTGAATATGATATTTACTCATTATTATGATCCCAACGGTAGCTTGTTTGTTGAAATATGTGATTGTACCTATCCTTATTTTACCCTAATTCCTTATTCCCTTCCCCCTCCCCTTTCCTTCCACCCCTCCCTTTACCATACCTATACTGTTCCTATTTTTCCTCATCTATATAACCTTAATAAAATTTTGTTAAAAAAAAATGAGTACGAGTCAGTTGCCAAGCGTCTGAATTTTGATCATGTGATCACGGGGATGCCTAAGTCATTTTTTCCTGTGCTGTTGTAACTTTGAATGGTTGCCAAAGGAACTGTTGTAAGTCAACAGTGCCTTATCACTGTACAGTCTGTACAGTTAGAAAGTTCTGCGGAAAGACCAGTTGTGTTAATCTTTTGCGGCAAAATGAATATGAGGTTTTGAGGCACCAGGCTATTAGAACTGCCTCAAAGAACAGGATCGTCTTATTTCCATAGCTTGTGCCAGCAAAACCTTCTGCCCAGGCATGGCTCTTTTGATGATCGCTTCCTTAATTCATGCAGCCTGTAGGTGTCCAGAGGTGCTCCTGGCCTGGTTTCTTAGTAACCACCATAAATAGTTCATTTACTGGCAGTAGTTTGGATAGTACATTTATTCTCTAATCCTTTGGGCCATACAGTCAATCAGATGACATGCCCTAAAAATCCAAGCAGAAGTCATATTTTAATTTAGAGTCTGTCTTTGTTTCATGAGAGTCACAAAGTAAATTAAGCCGCTCCGAGCAACAGGAGTAGCTACAAGTCATCTTGACTTCTAGAAGAAAAAAACAATAAAATGACTTTATGGAGTGCACAAAGGGATTATAAGAAAAAGTATTCATTTAAAGAACCACAAAGTCCCGTTCTTATTCTATCATAATTATGACTAACATTTTAGGGCTTTAGATAATCGCACCCAAATTCAGGAACTTTTTTCAGTTAAATTAAAGAGTATATTTGAGAAGATTGCTCATCCACCCATCTTTAACACCAAGTCAATAAATATTCAAATCGTACAGAGCTTTGCCTGTTAAAGTTCTATTTATTGGTACTAGCTCTTTAGTTGGCTTTGGACAATTCTTGTGTTTTGAACAGAGATAAATAGATTCAGAAAAAAATATACTTTAGAAATTTAATAGCAATGTTATTATTCTCTTATACCTAGGTGGAGAACTCATCTTTTTGTCAGAGGATCAAAAGAAATATTATAATGCACTAAAAAAGCTTGGTACCAAGAAACCACATAAGACTATTCCACGACCTCTGGTAAGGCCCTTGCAAGCATCAATGCACTTGCATTATTACTAACTTGGAAAGATTTTTCAGAAATTTTAGTAAAGCCAAATATAAAACATTTTTTTCCTGCATGAGCCATGGTGGCACTGGAGTTAGAATGCAGAATTTGAGGCTGACTCTGCCAACTGTCAGAAGTTCGATCCTGATGGGGCTCAAGGCTGACTTCAGCCTTCTGTCCTTCCAAGGTCGGTAAAATGAGGATCCAGATTGTTGGGGGCAATAGGCTGTAAACCGCCTAGAGAGGGCTATAATTGGTATATAATTGCTATATCTATCTATCTATCTATCTATCTATCTATCTATCTATCTATCTATCTATCTATCTGAATGAATCTAAATGAGAACCCAGATGGTTGGGGGGCAACAGGCTGACTCTGTAAATCCCTTAGAGAGAGCTGTAAAGCACTGTGAAGCAGTATATATAAGTCTAGATGTTATTGCTATCTCTGTATCTCTGTATCTGTCTGTCTGTCTATCTATCTATCTATCTATCTATCTATCTATCTATCTATCTATCTATCTGTCTATCTATCTCTATCTCTATTTCTCTATCTCTATATCATCTGTCTATCTATATCTATCTATCTATCCATCCGTCCATCCATCCATCCATCCATCCATCCATCCATCCATCCATCTATCTATCTATCTATCTATCTATCTATCTATCTATCTATCTATCTATCTATCTATTTCTATCTCTATCTCTATTTCTCTATCTATCTATCTATCTATCTATCTATCTATCTATCTATCTATCTATCTATCTATCTATCATTCTGAATGAATCTAAATGACCCAGATTGTTGGGAGCAACAAGCTGACTCTGTCAACCACTTAGAGAGGGCTGTAAAGCACTGTGAAGCGGTATATAAGTGCTATTGCTACGATTCATATTATTAATCAACGGGTTACAAACAGATCAGGAGTTATGGCCATAATAAAACCTACATATCATGGTTATAACTCATGACCAACCCAATTTTACGACCTTCTTTTGGAGATCATTAAGCAAGTGCAGCAATTGTAAAGTCGCCACCATAGACATTAAGTGAACACTGCAGTCATTAAATGAGCAGTGTGGTCACTAAGTGACCTTATGGTTTGCTGCAGGCCAGTTTTGCTAAAAATGAAACAAATGTCAGTGTCCGTCAAAAGCATCACAAAATGTGATCGTAAAATGTTGTAAATGCAGGCCAATTGCCAAGCATCCGAAGAGCATCACATGATTGGGGTTGTCAGTACCAACAGTCGCTAAATGACCGGGTAACTAATTATATGCTTATAAAACTAAAGTAAACGTAGCAAAATTTTAAAGACTGTGCCAAAGTCAGCTCCGATTAGTTTGCAATAAATCTGCCACCTTGAATCATAGGGAAGTTGCTGAGATCACTGCCAGCTCACCTGCCTTCCATCTGCACCTGGTTAAAAGGAAAATACAAAAATGTCCTTCAGAATGACAGAATAACAGAGTTGGAAGGGGCCTTGGAGGTCTTCTAGTCCTTCCAGCAGCAACAGCAATAGAAGGATCTCCTTGAAGCCTTTCAAGTCTTCCCCAGGGTTCTCCCTCCCTTTCTGACTTCTTTGTTCTGTTAGATTCTCTTCGTGACTTTCAGATTGGGATAAATAATTATGGAAGGACTTGATGTAACTATTTGAACTACTTTGGAATCTTGGCACTAATACCTTCCTCCCTCCTTCCCTCCCTCCCTCCCTCTCTCCTTCCTTCCTTCCTTCCTTCCTTCCTTCCTTCCTTCCTCCCTTCCTTCCTCCCCCCTCCCTCCCTCCCTCCCCTTTATCTTTTTCTTCCTTCTCTCTCTTTTCCTCCCTTCCACCTTCTCTTTTCCTTCCTTCCTTCCTTCCTTCCTTCCTTCCTTCCTTCCTTCCTTCCTTCCTTCCTTCCTCCTTCCCTCCCTCCCTTCCCCTTATCTTTTTCTTCTTTCTCTCTTTTCCTCCCTCCCTCCTTTTTTCCTTCCTTCCTTCCTCCTTCCCTCCCTCCCTTCCCCTTATCTTTTTCTTCCTTCTCTCTCTTTTCCTCCCTCCCTGTTTTCTGCCCCTCCCTTTTTCCTCCCTCACTCCTTCTCTTTTCCTTCCTTCCTTCCTTCCTTCCTTCCTTCCTTCCTCCTTCCCTCCCTCCCCTTTATCTTTTTCTTCCTTCTCTCTTTTCCTCCCTCCCTCCTTCTCTTTTCATCCCTCCCTCCCTGTCTCTCCCTTTTTTCCTCCTTCCCTCCCTCTTTCTCTTTTCCTTCCTTCCTCCCTCCCTCCCTCCCCCTTATCTTTTCCTTCCTTCTTTCTCTCTTTTCTTCCCTCCCTCCTTCTCTTTTCCTTCCTCCCCCCTCTTTTCTGTCCCTCCCTTTTTTCCTCCCTCCCTCCTTCCCTTTTCCTTCCTCCCTCTCTTTTCCTCCTTCCCTCTCTCCCTCTCTTTTCTTCCCTCCATCCCTTCCTTCCATCCTCCCTCCCTCCCTCCCTCCCTCCCTCTCATTTCCTTCTCCCCCCCTCTTTTCCTCCCTCCCTTCCACAGAACCAGTTCCAAGGATTTCTTTTTGATATCGTAAACAAGCAAGCCTTTGAACTTTTCATTATAAGCCTTATCTTCCTGAACGTGCTGGTCATGGCTGTGGAATACGAAGATCAAGGCGTGGCTGCTGACCAACTTCTTGAAAAGATCAACTGTGCCTTTGTTGCCCTCTTCACTGGCGAGTGTTTAATGAAGCTCCTGGCTCTGAGGCTCTATTTCTTTAAAGACTCCTGGAACATATTTGATTTGGTGGTTGTAATTCTTTCAATAATTAGTAAGTAGGATTTTTGTTTGTTTTGTTTACAAGGTGATTGCCTGCCAATGCTAGCAAGCTCTAAGGCAAATAACATTTGGCACAGCATACTTATTTACAGTCATAAACTTCCGCTTCACATGTACAGGTGGTCCTCAACTTACGACCACAATGGAGCCCATCATTTCTGTTCTTCAGTGAGACATTGGTTAAGTGAATCTGGTTTTCCCTTTGGCTTTGCTTGTCAGAAGATCACAAAAGGTGGATCATGTGACCCAGGGACACTGAAACTGTCATAGGTACAAGTCAGTTACCAATTCCCTGAATTTTAATCACATGGCCACGGGGATGCTGCAGTGCTCGTAAGTGTGAAAAGTGTGGTCATAAGTCATTTTTTCCCCTAGTGCAACTTTGAACTATCATTAAACGAACTGTTGCAAGTCGAGACTACCTGTATAATGCAGACTTAGGAATGCACGGTTGCAAGAATTGGTTGTAAAATGTTGCACGGAAGAGAAATAATTCAGAATTTAGAAAATAGTAAACTGGCATAGCCTCAGCAAGCCTCAGGCAATGAATCTTTGGATCCTGTGTTTGTGCATGTGTGTGAATCACGTTTTTTAAAAAATAATCCATCAATTTGCTCTTTTGGGGCAGATCCCAACCACCATTACCCATCATTAAAATCTGTTTTTTTTATTTTATTTATTCATTCATTTATTTAAATTCATATGCTGCCTGTTATGTATTGAATATATATATAAATTGTGTCAATCCCTGCTAAAGTGAAACTAACTTAACTCCAACTGCTTGTGAAGCTAAAATGAAACTAACCTTTAGATGACCCTGAGTGTTAACTCCAACTGTTTTGGAGGGAAACTTTGAATATTCATATTTGGGTGGGTTTTTCAAGTATTGTGATTGGTTAAGGCCCTGTGGGCTCAGAGTATAAATTACAGGCAATTGCCTGTAGTTCTCCAGTTCTAGTTTGAGTCAATAAACATAATGTTGTAACTATGCTGGTCTTCTCCTTGACTACTGAAGCTATACAATACTGCCCGTCTCACTATCCACAGTGAATGAGTCTGGCTTGCAGTGCAATAACATCATAAAAATAAGAGCATTCAAAGAAATACAAAATCGGTTAAAAACTACAAAGAGCACAGACTAAACAGACATGTGGTCTGTTACTTCATGAGTGTCTCCATCAGGTCCCCAGAACAACCAGCAAAGAAGGAAGTTTCAATGCCCTTCTGGAAGGCCAAAGGGATGGGTAGGCCTCAATTTATGACTACAATTGAGCCCCAAATTTCCTTTGCCATGCAAGGTAGCTGTTCATTGAATTTTGCCCCGTTTTATGGCCACAATTGTTAAGTGAATCATTGGAGCTGTTAACTTAGCCGCGTGGTTGTAAAATGAATCTGGCTTCCCCATTGAGTTTGCTTGTCAGAAGGTTGTGACAAGTGATCACATGACCCCGGGACTCTGCGGCCATCATAAATACCAATGCCAAAGGTCTGAATTTTGATCACATGACCATTGGGATTGAAATGGGCATAAGGGTGAAAAACAGTCACAAGTCACTTATTTTAAAGCTCTCGCAACTTTGAGCCATTCCTAAACAAAAGGAATTCGCAATTCGAGGACCAGTACCGAAGAACAGAGTTTTATGTTAAATTGAAAGATATTGAAAAGAAGCCTGTTTTTGTTTTTTTTCCCCAGGCCTTGCCGCAACCCAGCTTTGGCAACGTCTCAATTTCCCGCCGACAATCTTGCGAGTCATTCGAGTGATCCGTGTTAGCCGCCTCCTGAGGCTGATCCGAGGCGCGAAGGGACTGCGCACCCTGCTTTTCGCCCTGTTGATGTCCCTTCCTGCTCTCACCAACATTGGTCTCCTCCTTTTCTTGATCATGTTCATTTATGCTATATTTGGCATGGCTAATTTCTCCTGCGCAAGTTGGGTACAAGGGATTGACAATATTTTCAACTTCCAGACCTTTGGCAATAGCATGCTTTGCCTCTTCCAGATAACCACCTCTGCCGGCTGGGATGAACTTCTTGGACCGATGATCACCCATCAGGACAACTATTCCTGTGCTCCGAACATTAACTCCATGCCCCAGAAGAACCCCTGCGTCAATAGCAAGCTGGCCATTGCCTATTTTGTCAGCTACATCATTATTTCGTTCCTGATTGTAGTTAACATGTACATCGCTGTCATCATTGAGAATTTGAATATTGCCACAGAAGAGAGCACAGAGCCACTAGGGGATGATGACTTTGAAATATTTTATGAGATCTGGGCAAAATTTGACCCCAAAGCAACCCAGTTCATTTCTTACTCAGCACTGTCTGACTTTGCAGATGCCCTGGCAGAACCTTTACGAATACCGAAACCAAATAGCCAGCAGTTGTTGTCCATGGACCTTCCGATAGTCAATGGGAATAAAATCCATTGTTTGGATATTTTGTTTGCTTTTACGAAAAGGGTACTAGGAGAAGCTGGAGAAATGGACTCGTTTGAGTCCCAAATAGAGGAAAAATATCCGGAGAAGATTGCCTATGAGCCTATTGTGACAACTCCCAAGAGAAAGCAGGATGAGTCTGCCATCGTAATTCAAAGAGCTTTTCGGATGCACCTCCACCATGTAGGAAAGAAAGCTTCTCAGGAACCCTGTGTAACTATCTCCTTGGAGAATATTCCAGAAGAAGAAAACCTATCTGTGTTCAGTCTGAGTGAAAATGAAGACATCCAGTCCAATAATTCTCAAAGCTTATCTTCAGTTGTCATTCCTCCATCCTACAGTAATGTGACTAACATCGCTTCTGACATTCAACAGGAGGAGTTCCCTGACAGTAATGGTAATACAAAGTGATATTACTCTCACTGATTTTTCTCTTGTCACAGCAGAGTTTTCCTGGAAACAGACAATAATAATAATAATTCATAAATAGTTAACTCAGGAGCTTTTCCATTAGTGTTTGTATAAACTCTTACAGATCCACAGTGGGAATTAAAGATTGCATTGGAGCAGAGTTCCCCAACCATCTATATTCCGGATGTTTTGTTCATTGCGATAATCTGAAAATTCTGGGAACCATATGTCATTTCTGCCCTAATGATTTATATAGTATCTTCTAGAATCAATCTGTGTTATGTCAAAGGACAGGCATTGTGTCATTTCAGTGATGGCTGGATGACACAATGAAAGGACTGGAGGCTAAAACATACAAAGAACGGTTGTAGGAATTGGATATGCCTAGTTTAATGAAGAAAATATCTAAGGGTGACATGGTAGCAGTATTCCACTATTTAAGGAGCTGTCAGAAAGAAGAGGGAATCAAGCTATTCTCCAAAGCACCTGAAGACAGGATAAGAAACAACAGATGGAAACTAATCAAGGAGAGAAGCAACCTAGAACTAAGAAGAAACTTCCTGACAGTTAGAACAATTAACCAATGGAACAACCTGCCTCCAGAAGCAGTGAATGCTCCAACACTGGAAGTTTTTAAGAAGAGACTGGACAGTCACTTGTCTGAAATGGTATAAGGTCTCCTGCTTGAGCAGGGGGTTGGACTAGATGACCTCCAAAGTCCTTCCAGCCCTGTTATTCTGTTCTTTCAGTTAAGACTTTTATAGAATGGTAATTTTCAAAATGCATCTGTGCAGAAGAATTGATATAGAATATAACAGATTGTGTGACAATTATTAATATAATTATTGTAAAACAATTCTGCTCTTGCATATTTCTACCCACCGGATGGTTCTTGCATGGATTCATGTAGCATAAGAAACGGGATTACAGTACTTACATCAGCATGAAAATGTATGAACATACACTAAAAATAGAAATAAAATATTTGTGTTGTAGAAATGTATTTTGTAATTAAGTGAAAAGAGAGTGGTTCATCTTTGAATGTTGAATTTTCCAGAACAGGAATTCATGATGCTCCAGATGCAGTTTGACTATATGAAAAATGAAATATCCTTTAGGAAAACCAGAATATTAAGAATAAAACCATAATAAGAGCTGCGCTAGCAGAGTGGTTAGAAAGCAGTATTGCAGGCTAATTCTGCTGACTGTCAACAGTTCAATTCTCACCAGCTCAAGGTTGGTTCAGCTTTCCATCCTTCCAAGGTGGATAAAATGAGGACCCAGATTGTTGGAGGCAATGTGCTGACTCTGTAAACCTCTTAGAGAGAGCTGTAAAACTCTGTGAAGTGTATACAAGTCTAAGTGCTATTGCTATATTTTGAAGACAAATGATTCTGATTTGCACTCTCATTATGGCTTATTGTACTCTGGCAATCTAGCCAATTGTGGCTTATTAAATGAACCATAGTAAAGATAACAATGTCTTAGGGCATTATGTGGAACATCTTACACATATAATAGAGATGCTATCTTGCTAAGAAAGAAGACCAGCAAGGGCACAATTGCAGGACTTCTGTTACTGTTGGTCCATCGGAATTGTTTTGGAATTTCTCCATATTCCAGTATATCTTATTTATATCAAGTGAGCCTTATAGATAAACATTAACACAGTTTGTTTCTGTTCATTGTTTGAAAGAATTACCATGCAGCACAAATAAATAGAAGACAATACTGTACCTCAGGACTAAACTGTGGGATCCTTGGTGTTTTCTAAGCTTGATTGTTTTCTTGCAGATGACTCATGACCCAACGAGATACCATCATCAATGGCACCTGTCAAAAGAATTTGAAGTCCCAATCCTATCCAAGGTTGTGCAAAAATGAATCAGAATGAAATCCAGATATGCTGTTTGAAAGGGAAAAAGTTTATTTGAGAGCATAAAGTAGCTACAGTTTAGGGTAGAGTGGCTATTAGTATTGATAGGCTTTAATGGTCCTTTTGTGGAGTGTGGGTGCATGTATGAATGTGCTTTCTGTAATGTTTATATCATGGTTCTGACAGATGAAACTCTTCAAAGAACTTCGAGGCATTGCTTACCTTAAAGAATCTTTATTCGAGTAGCATAGCATCCGCAGGTACATAGGCAAAGCCAAAAACTAGATTCCCCTCCTCTGAGCACATAGTATCAAAGCACAATTCCCTCCTCTAATTAACAGTCATAAATCACATTCTCCAATTAGTTTGAAATGCAGGCTTTCCCTCCAGTTCTTCAGCCTACCATTTCTTATCAGCTCTTATTTCAAAAAAACCTTGGTTCTCACTCTAGTTACAATACTGTTATGTCTAACTAAACTCCCATGCATATTCCTTCCACTCCCCCAGTATCATCTAATTCTAACTCTAATTCTAAGAGTAAAACATAAGAAGGAAAATGGCTGCATCTCCATATGATGTCAAAGCAAGAACATCCAATGTTAGCAGCATTGACAGTTTAATTACAGGTCTCTGTACAGCTCTGCTGGAAATGTTCTTATCTTGTTTGGCTGAGTGTGTACATATTTTCTGTTTGATATATGCCTATGTTGTGACTTTGCTGGCCACCTCTGTGTAGCCAGAAAAACTCTGTATTGTACAAGGATTTTCCTGTTCTATTATTACTTAAACAGGTTAATTATTTTAGCCAGATTGGAGAATTGCCAGAGGAGAAAATGAATTAGTGATCTTTGCAACATAATTTTCTAGTTTTGGTTACTTGTGGCTCATGTTAATGACTAAAAGGAGGGTCAGGGTCAGTATAGGAATAAATCTAACTTTGAAGTAAAATTCTTTTTACAGTTCTTAAAATTCTTTCCACACACCATGATGTTACCTGGTTGAATAATGAAATGCCTGCCAGAAAAAAACCAAGCTCAGAGAGCACCAAGGATCCCATACATATAAATTCTAATTTGTTGGATTTATAAGATCAACTCTTTTTGAGAGACTGATTAGGATAGGGGTCTTCAAACTTGGCCCTTTTATGACTTGTGGACTTCAACTTCCACAATTCCTCATCTAGCGTGCCTGGCTGAGGAATTCTGTGAGTTGAAGTCCACAAGTCACAAAAGGGCCAAGTTTGAAGACTCCTGGATTAGGAGAATCACAACTAGTTCCTGCCATCTTCTGTGGAGGTTCCATCAGCGGGAGAAAACCCTATAGTCTGGATGAAATAGAGCCTGGTTTCCAGAAAAAGATTTCATAAGTGAGAGATGGATGTGTTCTATGCATTCTCACATTCATTCAATTGATCATATTTCCTAATCGAGGTGGAGTGGGTGAGCTTAAAATGAAATTCTTGGGTCCTGAGCTTTTTTTGTGAGAACTTCCTTACAATTTCAGAGAAATCTCTATTACACATATTAATTCAGCTTTCCGATGTCTATTTTCTAAAGGATGTTGCTGCTGATGTATTTTAATGGCACTTTTTAAATAATCTAATAAATGAGCACCATGGCCATTAACAGTAATTGCATGTCACACAAGCCTCCCCATCTCCAACTTCTCTCTTAATTTTTCTCTCTCTGTTATGATTATTATTAAAAACATTTCTGCTAGTCTGCCTAAAGCAGTGTTTCTCAACCCTGGCAATTTTAAGGCATGTGGACTTCAACTCCCAGAATTCCACAGCCAGCAATGCTGGCTGTGGAATTCTGGGAGTTGAAGTCCACATGCCTTAAAATTGTTAAGGTTGAGAAACACTGGCCTAAAGGCTTGAATTTATATTTGGTAAGCCATTGACACAAAGAAAACCCAGCCATTTCTGTCATGCCTCCTTTGCACTTGTTTTTGTTAATGTTTGTGGTATTAACAGGGTTTTTGTGTTGTTTTATTACAGATATTGTTTTAACTGGGAGCCATCTTGACTGGGAGTTTGATGTAAGATGGACGGCTATATAAACCCCAAAGGTGCTTTATCAAACTGTTTTTCCTTGAAGATGTTTCGCTTCTCATCCAAGAAGCTTCTTCAGTTCTTGCTTGCCTTGATAAATATTGAAAAACTGAAGAAGCTTTTTGGATGGGGAGTGAAATGTCTTCAAGGAAAAAACCAAGAAAGTCCAGTTGCCTTTTGAAAAAGCACTTTTGGGACAACCAGGACCTGGATGGCTGAGAATCTCTGTAGACATATGACTGTATAAATATTATCAATCAATAAAATAAAAATAAATTTGGAATTCACAATTTCCAGTTAGAGCTGTCCATTGCAGCAGGGTCCAGTGATCCCTGTTTTTCCATCCACAGTTTATTTCCATCAAATTCTGGATTGGTTTGCAATCTTTGGCAAGGTTCCCTGAAAACCATTGGCCCTGTTTTGCACATTTGACTAGCAGGTTATGTGCCATCACGTCAGTCCTAGCAACTTGATAGGTAGATACTTTGCAACACTTTGTGAGGTTTTTCACATACTAAACACATGTATGTTTTTGAATATACTTTCCCTTGTAATATAGAAGTAGTCCTTGACTTGCAACTGAGACCAGAACTTCCACCGCAACAAGGTGGTTGTTATTTATTTATTTATTTATTTATGAGACTTATATACCGCTTTAAGTGCAAGCACTCTCTAAGCGGTGTACACCAATAAGCAATGTATATATATATTTACATTGCCCCCAACAATCTGGGTCCTCATTTTATCTACCCCGGAAGGATGGAAGGCTGAGTCAACCTTGAGCCGGTGAGATTTGAACCGCTGACCTGCTGAACACAGTCAGCTAAAGTGGCCTGCACTCTAACTGCTGCGCCACCTCGGCTCTTTGTGTTAAGTGAATCATGCTTGATTTTATGACCATTATTGCCACAGCTGTTAAGCGAATCACAGCAATTGTTAAGGAAACCATGTGGCCGTTAAGCGAATCCAGCTTCCCCCATTGACTGGTCAGAAGCCGGCTGGGAAGGTCACAAATGGCCATCAAATGGCTCCAGGGTGATGCAATAGTCATAAATTTGCAAAATGCCTGAATTCTGATCAGTGGAGATGCTATGATAGTCCTAAGTGCGACTGCAAGTCGTAAATCATTTTTTTTCAATGCTGTTGTAACTTTGAGTGCATCTAGTCTTTGAGTTGTAAACTCAGTGGTGGGATTCAGCCAGTTCGCACCACTTCGGCAGAACTGGTAGCTAATCTTTAGTCTGGAGGCTAAAACATATAAGGAATGGCTGCTGGAATTGGGTATGTTTAGTCTACTGAAGAGGAGGACGAGGGGGGACACAATAGCAGAGTTCCAGTATTTCAGGGGCTGCCACAAAGAAGAGGCAGTCAAAATATTCCCCAAAGCATCTAAAGGCAGGTCAAGAAGCAATGGGGGGAAACTAATCAAGGAGAGAAACAACCTAGAGCTAAGGAGAAACTTCCTGACAGTGAGAA